GTCAACATGATCCAAAAAGAAGGTGGATGTTGAGCGGTGGACAAGGCAACGCGAGCTATTCTTGGCCACAAGGTAAAGGTTATTTGGACATCCGTGTTTATTGGTTTCTTGAAGTATTGTAGTTTGCCTGGGCTGCAGGCCCTTTTTTGCTTCAGGGTTGAAAAGGGGAAACTAAGCCAAGCTGGAGCCAGGATGTGCACGCACAAAGCGTTAACCGTGGCATTGCTGTTTGTGTTTACTTTTCGGGGTGCAACGTGTGACCAGGTAATGGTTTGGATTGCCTCGAGGATTTGCATTGTAGAGTCAACCACCCTCTTACACCAATCCGAGCAATCCAAATAACCGACTCCTTGGCATGTGATGCAGAAGCTGGAACTCAAGGGTTTGAAGACAGAGAGCATTGTCTCGCCACCCTTTGGCTAGCATCTTCTATTTGGAAGCAGTTTGAATTACTCACCCAGCACTGCCGGTTGTGCGTGTTTCACAGCATGTGGTTTACAAGTCAGGTCCGTGTCCGTGATTGCGTGAACAGTTGCATGTCATGTTTGTCTTGTTGGTGTGCTTTTTATTATCCAATCAGTTCAACTCGCGAGTTCTCCGGTCTGTTCTTTACAGCTCCCATGTTTGGTTACTATGAATGCCCGGCAGTTTTACCGGCAAAAACCAACCGGGGCCCACCCAAACCTGACACTCATCAACCTACAAGTTAATGTTGACCCCGGATTAATAAACCCCTGTTTATTAATGTGGGGGTGTCCCTGGTTTCACTTTTGGAGGACAACACCAACATATAAATATACCGGGCCGGCATATGAATATGGGGTCAACATTATAGTCCCGTGGCTATCCCATTTATCGGAGAACCGCCTTTCCACAAGAGGCGTGCCCCTGGGCAGGTGAATGTGCAAACCTATCAGAAAGGTTTCCAGCAGCTCGAAGAGAAGGCAAGCGGAGAGAGACAGGGTGAATCAGTGAAGGTCGGGCCGGGGCTCACTTCCTAAGTTCCTGGACTTCAAGTTTTTGCGTGTAGACCATTTTGGCGCAAATGTTTTTTTTTTTTGAAAAAACAAGTTTCTGGGAAGTGAGATGATGACTGGCCCCAAAATAGCAATGGCAACCTGGAGCTGTGGATGGATTGCTCTCCAACATCAGACGGATTCTGGTTGTTGGAGATTGGGGCCGTACTGAGAAGCAATAACTCAAGAGGCCACACAAGGTAGGCGGCACTGCTTTTGGGACAGTGCTCGGGCATTTGAAAATGGGAACAAGCAGTTGCTGGGTGCTGGTGCTTTGACGATGTTGTTGGGGCTTCCGCTTTTTTCATCTGGAGCGAGAGGTTATTCTGGCTCCTCCGAGCAGCAATCTTGTTTGTTCTGCCTCGTTTCCGAGAGCTGGATTGGCGCGTGCTTTCGGGGGAACCTGATGGTGGTTGGTTTGAAGGAGAAACCTAGAACGAATTTCAAGAGCACGTTGGGCTCGCCTAGTTGTGAGACGAACTGTTTAGTCTTGTGGCGGGGAGAAGTGTCCTGCCGCCATTTGTTAGGTGTCCCTCGCATTGTGGGACATCCCATGATATGGGCACGAATTCCACTGAGCAACCTCCAACATGGTTGGACATGAATCCCCCACCGTCCACCATATCGGGTCCTTTCCCCAAAGCTCACACCCAAGTTGCGAGTGACCAACACAACCTATAGTAAAAGTCGAGCCCCTTTGTGTGGGGTGGTCAAAGCCCAGCCCAAGCTGTTTTGGGAGTTTTTTTTTTGTTGGGACCGCTGTCCCGCGCGCGTAGATCTTGGGCCTGCTGCGGGACGCGAGCCCCCACTTCAAGGCGAAAGCTTCCCCGCTCGGCGCGAGGGCACCTTCCCATCTCGCCTTGACGGTGCCCAGCCCTGCGGTTCCTTAGGATTTTTGGATGTTTTTACTTGGTTTTGGTGTCCACTAAAACCACTAAAACCACACGTTCTTTAGGTTTTCGGATGTTTTTGCTGGGTTTAGTTGTCCACTAAAACCGCTCAAGTCACCAAATGTTCTCGACTTTGAGCAGGGGATCTGAGGACAGCCCAGTTTAACATTGAACGAAGACTCTGTTTCCCTTGCAAGGGACCCTCTAGTGGGTTCCATGTTAGGGGACAGGAGAGTAGCCGCACAAACTTAAGCAGTGAGTGGTTTCGGTTCGGACTCATCCCTGGTGTTGTTTCTTCTCGGGGGCCAGACCTGGGACCCATGAGGCACCCGAACAAGCAGTGACTGTGAGTCTGCGCTTATGTCAAGATGTTACCACCGGCTTTTAAGGGAAGCTACCATCAAAACAAACCAAAAGAACCAACGCAAACCAAACAAACACAAGCAAAGCGACCCAGGGAGGAGTCAAACCTCCATAATTTGTCAGGAAGTGCCCCATTGCGTCGGCAACCCAACACTGATTTATGTCAAGTTTCCTTGACCCACTTTTTCGGTACCATGGTTTATGTCCAGTTTTTGTTGCCGGAAAAAATGGGCAAACGCCGGGCAAAACGAAATCGGGTAAACAACACATCGCGCAAACGATTTGTTAAAGTGGTATCCAAACCAGCAAGTTCAAGATACCATCTGAACAAAAAAAGTAAGGGAGGAAAGCCATTTTGAAAGCGTAAGGGTTTACACGGGTCTTCTGTTGAGAACCAGCAAGAATAGGGTTTCCTTTGTCTAGCTTTCGGTGTGATTTTCATGGGTTGCAGGCGCTTTGGTGGACATCAGAGAACTGTGCTGGGCAACAAACTCAGAATCTAAAATATCATGGCCACTTTGGTTTGATGTAGGTGTGTTTTCTGGGGGTTCCCGTTTGCCATTATTTTTAAGGCTGAAGCCCAAAAGCAAAACCGACACTCATTTTGGGTCCCCTATTGTGACACTGACATACCGAAGATGTGTGTTTTTATTAGAAAGACACTCCTTGGATTCTCATATGGAAGCCCAAAGCTAGAGGTCTTTTGTGGGTCGTGACACATTTTTTGCCGGAGCAACAAACCACAAAAGACAACTGGTTTAGAATGAACCCAGAAGCAAAGTGCACTGCAAGGGTCCCTCTTTAAGAGAACGGGGTTGTGGGGTACTAAACCAGATTTTGTCATGCTGGTTAGGCTATGAGTACTTTCTTTTGTTGGTACCATTTTAGTGGCGAGCAAAACGTCTGGCCAACCCACTCAGGAAGTAAACTCTTCCTCCCCCCCGAGAACTTGATTGTCGTTGGGAAACAATTTACATTTTTGCTTATTGTGGTTTAGTGGGAAATCCCCACTTAACTGCTAAAAAAAACAAAATGCTCCCCGTCCAACGTCAACCAAGAGAAGGTCAAACCTCAGATTCAACGGGCCCCGCCCCAAAGTGATGCTATGGACACCGCTTTGCTTTGGTCTCGGTGACTCCCAGCCTGCAGATGGTTTATGGTTGTGGTCGTTTCCACTGAACCACTAAACTTCCATTTGGTTAAGAATATTCTTTATTTTTCCCTGGTGGTTTTTTAAAGGGAATCTATCACTACTGGAATAATTTTCTTTTGTTCCAGGAGACTTAAGCAAAATGGAGCCTGCCACTTCGGGGTCGTGGACTATGTGTCCTTGAACAGGGGACCCTTTCCATCTTAGCGGGCAGGAGGGTATGCAAATGCAAGATCCTTTTTCTTGGTTTGTCCGCAACCAACCCTTGGTCCCCCTTAAGGGGAAACCGAAAGGAGATTGTTTGAAGCGCTGGGTAAGGGGATTCGCAAAAAAGAAAAGATCCTTGTTCATTGGTTTAAGCAGCCAAAGGGGAAACTGAAAGGAGGTTGTTGCAAGGGTTGCAAGGGGATCCGCAAGAAAGAGAAGACATCCGCAGTCATAGGGAGCAGATCTGTCGGCCAGGAGCAGCTCTCGAAGCAGCTGAACTCCGTGGAGAGCCAGTTTATGTCGGTGGCCATCAATGTACTGAATGGCGTTCTCAGCCGCACCACGTGCCTTGTGGAAAGCAAAAACGCTGGGCGGGAGGTTGCTTGCTTTGACTTGCTTTGACTTGCATTGCTTTGCTTTGCTTTGATTTGCTTTGCTTTGATTTGTTTTGTTTTGATTTGTTTTACTTACTTGCTTGCTTGGCTGGTGGGTTGGTTGGTTAGTTAGTTAGTTACTTGGTTGCTTAGTTGGTTGCTTGGTTGCTTGGTTGCTTGGTTACTTGGTTAGTTGGATGCTTGATTGGTCAATTGTTTGCTTTGCTTGCGTGGTTGCTTCTTTGGTTGGTTTGTTGGTTGGCTGGCTGGCTGGCTGGTTTGTTGGTTACTTGGTTGGTCAATTGTTGCTTGCTTGCGTGGTTGCTTATTTGGTTGGTTGGTCAGTCGGTTGCTCGCTCGGTTGGTTGGTTGGTTTGTGGATTTGTTGGTTTGTGGGTTTGTTGCTCGCTTGCTCGCTCGCTCGCTTGCTCGCTTGCTTGCCTGCGTTCCTTGCTTCCTTGCTTCCTTGCTTCCTTGCTTCCTTGGCTGCTTCGGAGCTGGGCTGCTTGGTGCGTTGGATTGGGTTGAGTTTGGGTTTGGGTTCAGACATTGCAAACCCCTGGGCAATGAAGAACCGTGGATCTCACTTGCCAAATCCCGACAAATGTTTGACGTTCTGGGGTTTGTGATTCATGCTCAAAACAGGCTAGGCACCCTTGTTCCAACAATGGAAGTGGACAAGGGGCTTTCTCAGGATGAGTTTTGTTTGCCCAAATCCCCCCGTGCCCCTTCCATGATTATTCAAAGGAGGGTAGGGCCCAAAGCAATTCTCACCAGTTGTGCCCGGGTTCTTTGGGCCCAAAACAATTCGGGCACATCCTAGGAGCCTCTTCACACAGACGGTGATGTTCCTGCTCTATGTCTTGATGTGGCTGCTATCGCCGATGACCAGTCAGAGCGGGCAGGCTCATTTCAAAGCGAGCAAGCCGAAGCTTCTGACCTCTGCTGTTGGTTTGCAGGTTCGCTTCTTTTGGCCCCGTTTTTGTTTTTTTTACCGCAGGATTTAGTGGTAGCTTTCGTTTGCCTTTGTCTCGTTCCGGTCAAAGCGAACCATGTTACGGCTTTGCGATACAGCCCCGACTATGAGGGTTTGTTTTTGCTGGGAGATGGTCGACAACCCACCAAGATTTGCGTGTCCTTTTATTATTAATCGTTGCTCTTGTTCTATTTATTATTTGTTGGAATGACTCATTTGTCCTTGGTAATTTCATGATTTGAGTTATGGAGTCCTCATTTGTTGGTGAGGCTTTCATGAATTGCTCTGGTTCTATTTGTTCACAATGACCACTTGGCTTGTTTCTTTGTTTGTGAATAATGTAGTCATGGAATCCTTCTCAGTTGGTGAATCAGTATACAATTTGCCCCGGTTCTTATGCAGAACCCGAGGGTCCGTTTCCGAACCACACCCCGAGTCGCTGAAATGGGGTGTCATTTGGGACATATTTCGAGTTGCCCCAAATTCCACGAATCGGATCTTTGGGGTAGTTTTGACCATAGGGCCACCTTGTACCTTCGACACAGGCCGTCTTCTCCATCGTGCGGACCTACTTTATGCTCAGCGCTCAGACCAGCAGTGCTTCTGAAGACACGTGTGCAATTGTTGTTTCACTTTGTCACAAGTTTCCAAGTCCGCCTGAGAAGTGAGAGCGTCGCCCCCGACTGGCGTTGCTTTTAGCTTAAAGAGGGTCCCCGTGTTTGACACACACACACACACATAAGTGATGCTTGCCGAGGTACAAAGCATTCTGCAACACTGTCTTCGGCGCCTGCGTGTGGTGTTTGCTGACATGGTTGCGACTTCGGGCTAAATTCTGAGGATCCAGGTTTACCACCCACGAGCATGGAACCTGACATCCAAACCCACCTGCCCCTGTTCCCTCCAAATACCACGCTAGTAAAGTATGATCATGGCCTTATTTTTTTTTATGTGGGGGTTAGGGGACGGGAAATCCAACAAGAAGCGAAAGAGGAAAGGAATCATTTCTTTGAAGGTGACCCACGTTCATCATGGGTAACAACACACATGGTCCAGGGAAGCCGGTACCACGCGTGGAGCTCCCGTGCGCCAGTCTTGTCTTTTTTTCTTACAAAATCCATTTCCCTGTAGGGTCCCTTGGAAGTTCCATTTGCTTTTTGCTGAAATGATTTGTTTTGGTTGTTCTCTTGTTGGTTTTGAGTGGAGTCGGTTTCACTGCTGGAACAACTGTTTTTGGGTTTCCAGGCGGCCAAAAAGTAAAAGGAAGCTGGGAACCTTAATGTGCTTCTTGAGGAAAGGAACGAGGTGTCAAGCACCACATGATACCGGCCGGGCCGGACATCGGCCAGCTCTTTGTGACCTTTGAACTTGGAAGGCAACACGCGGGGAGTGCACATGGGTGTCCAAAAAGTTGGGGACTGGATGGCTTCATGGCTATGTGGTCTCGGACCCTTGGACTTTAAAACTTTTTGAACGGTGGATTTTCCATGGGACCCACAAAGAAGTCAAAATGTTTGCGGAGGGGTCAACAACAACCAAGATGGTAGGATACACCTTTGGCAGTCCTCACTTGGGTCAACCGGCAGTCTCGAGTCGTTTGCTTAGGATGCGATCTCGCCATGGTGGTTGCTGTGATGTGCTTCTTTCTGGGCAGCTCGGCCTTTTAGTTTGCTTCCCCAAACCGCCGTTGCTTCGAGCTTTGTGGTGGGTCATTCGGGCCCTCATGTTAGCCCAAGGAGGGCGTCAACATTCTCCGGCTTACCTTGGCGGTTCCCAGCCGTCCCCTGAATTTTTTAGGTTTGTAGGGTCGTTTCCACTTGGACCGCTAAAGGCTTTTCGACGTTTAGCAGAACGTTTGCAAACGGACAGCACAGCTCTGGAAGCTCCGGAAGGTGCACGGAAGCGGAGCCTTGCTGGAAACAACCTTGTTGGGACTTGCTCGTTGAGCTGTTCTTTTGCATGTTGAGAAGCTGCTTTGCAGCACTACCAAGTTCCTTGATCTTTGTTTGAAAGTTTAACACCTTCCTTCCCCCAACAAAAGGTGTTTTTCGGTTTTTGCAAGTGCTCAAGCAGGTGGCTTTTGCCAAAGACCCACTCAGGAGATCCTTGAAGCTGTTTCCTGTTTTAGGCTCCCTTAAAAAAGCAATACAACCCAGAACGGGACGTGGGTTTCCCTAACGACGCTGTACCTAGGCTTCATCCCGGAAGTGGGCTCTGTGATCTCAGTCGTGGCGCGGACCCCAAGCCCCACGCAGCGGCTTCCGTTGAGCTCACCGCTTCGAAATGAACATGAGCTGACCCAGAGATGGCCTCGAGTGCTGCCGTATTACGCGAATTTGGAAGTTGCGTTTTTTTGTTGGCGCAGGTTGAGAATATGATTGGCAGAGTAGTGGGTGTTCCCTCCTACAGTGACCCCCTTTAACAAGGGGACACGCGCTCAATTTCTGTAAACAGCCGTGTTTCGTGGCGTTGACGTATTGTCAGCTTGCGCACCATCCAATGGTCGACCTTCAGGTCTTCGTGCGTTTCGCGGCTCTCGCTTTGATTGCGCAACCCTTTGCGTACTTTTTCTGATTTTGTCTTATCGGTTCTAATCAGCTAACGAACTCAATAGCTAGCTGCTGTGGCTCATGGTTTTCACCAGCTCTTGTAGAAGCGCGGCTCAAGTAGTTCCAGTACCGCGGAACTTCCTTCTAAACTTTCTTTGTCACCAGCTGGCATTTTTTTGTTTGAGGCGAAATGTTCGGCCCGTAAAACTCGCGATCCACCCTATTTGACTTGAAAGGGTGACCCGTGAAGCATTGAAGGAAACCAATGGTGCGCAAGGGCATGCGGGGCGCCTGGCATCTCGTGGGTTCTGGCTTCAGCATTTTCCGAGAACAGCTTTGGCCTGCTCGCCTCCCTCACCTAGACCGACATCATTTAGCTTTATTTCAGGTTGCAGGATCGCAAGCGCATGCTTTGCGTATGTCATCCGGTTGTTTTACATCTCAACCCGGGAGTTTGAATCATGGGCAAGCTGCCGTGTATGGTTACTAAGCTGATCCAGTTGGGCGCATGTTCAACCAAACTACCCGCTCAGAGGACGACAGGTTCATTCCAACAACCCCTCGGGGGCGCATTCGGCGAATCGAGTCGATCTCAGGTGCCAGTGCCGATTCTGCTCTTCGATTCCAGAGTGAGCCTCGAGGTGCGTGCCACCAATGTACTCACCATGGCGCCTTGGATGGGTACAGTTGGGTGAAAGTAGATATCGCACAAGTCCTGTGTTTTGATTTATTCATTGTCATCCCCTTTGACTCACATACAGGGAAGTGTGCCATCCACTTGCACACTGGCGTAACCCGGGGGTACAATGACTTCCTGGGTTGGCCAATCCACTCAAGTAAGGAGTTAAAAATGAATGCTGCGCTGTTTGGGTATGGGTCAATATTCAACCTCCAGGGGACCGCAGGTTTCATGTTTCTTTCCATTTACCATGGTTCCATTTTGGGTGCCGATTTTTGACCCACAGCCATTTGTTTTGACCAAGGCGGTGGGGATGCTGCTGATTAAGTTCATGGTCTCCAACGGCCTGGACACTTGGCTTCACGACCCAATGATTTGGGTGAAGTATAGCGACCTCACACGACCGAATTCACCCCAAATGGTGGCTTATGTGGGGAATAGCCCCCAAACCACCGCAAGGTTCAGGCTGGTGAAATATTATAATTCACTCAGAATGATAGTCCTTTGCCAGCCGCAAGGCTTGTGGCGACAATATGATACACACGAAAGCCGCGTTCCGCTTTGAATATCACTTTTTTTGGAAGATCATTTTAGTCGCAACCAGTTCAGACTGCTTTTGGCCCATGCTTTTTAGGACCCATTTTTGGCATCGGGCATCGTTCCTTGTCACAGGACGGCTTCGGTTGAGCTGCGAAGCTTTTGGAGAAAATGGCTGGCTTTTAGGGTCGCTTGCACCAAGGAGAGTTACCTCATGAGCAAGAGCCCCACTTTGGCGGGCCAGCGGGAGGGTGAGAACCAGCCCGCCTCAGAGACGCACCCTGTCACCCGGCCGAGAAGTCGAAAGGGCAGTTTGCTTCCGGCTGCGTGTGCCATTGTCAAACGACAACTGTAGGGGTTGATACTGTGGATGGACAATATCCTGCACCTAAGAAAGCTGGAATGATGATTCCCGTGCAAATACCACTAAACAATGGTTTCAACCATGGTTTCAAGGTGGTGCGAAATGGATTTCGCAACCATCCACGGTAGGGATGGTCATCCACCTGGTAAAAAAACGTCCTTAATGACCGTGATATCATTCCTATTATGCGAACCGTGAAAATAGGCTATTATGAAGAGTTTTGACCATGTCTCACATGGGAAATCCGCAGCAAGAAAGGATGTGCGCTATTGTTGTTGTTTTTTTAATTGGGACGGTTCTCTTTTGGTTCCTTTGAAAGCGCTAAACCTTGCACCACAGGCAGAATACAAACGGGACTTGCGCATCTGGGCCTTAACATGGAGAGCCCTTGTTTGTAGCAAAACCAATGAGGTCTAAGGGGGTGATAATTGAAAGCACTTCTATTTGCAGGGGTCATGGACATCTGCATTAAGAGATACCACTCCACTCCGGTGTACTTTTGCACCAAAGCCCACCCTGATTGCTCGGCGATGGACGAAATGGGAAAGCGCTATACGGTCCACCATCTATTCACCGGCATGGGTTCCATCTTGCCCAGTATGAAGCAACCAAACGTGGTGTCCTTCTTCCAAGCGGCCCTTTGGGGCAATTCACCTCCGCAAGCTCTGAAACCTTTGATTGCCCTCCCGCGAGTCTTGGATGCATACCTTGTAGCCCTAAGACTCTCTTTTGCAAAACCCCGGGCCTTTTGATCCCTTGACATGTCATTTGTCGTTTGTTTTAAAGCCAAAATCCCCATAAGATGAGCATTTGTTTTATTACCTCCGCGCAGGCGTGAGAAGTTCCTGGTGCGGGCCTTGTGTTTCTCCTCTATGGGTGTGTCTCTAAATTGAGGACCCCCCGAAACAAGGCGTGTAGTCAGCCGCAAAACGAGGACCCTCAACAGAGAGTCACACCCATATGGGTGGTCTAGATTCTTCGACACCCATTGCACGGAAGACATGTGGGGTCTGCTGGACCCCCCCCCCCGCCCCAATTGAGTGCAGGCTAGGGGTGGTTCAAAGCCGCACTGCATTGCCGGCGGCGGTTGGCCTTTCCTTGCTTTGGATGTTTGTGCTAAGGTCGGGGTTTCTCGCTCCCTGAGTTCCCTAACTTGAAACTTCCTGGGAAGGCTGGTTTGTTTGGCCAATCCACTAAGCAAGCAAGGTGTTGGTGCAGGGCCATAAGAAAAAGGGGGCCCGTTTGGAGAATATGGTTCAGTGCGATTCCCTCAGGTTCTGGTAGAAGTTTAGGAACTGCATACTGTTTCAAATCCTCTACATGTCAGTGCCAGTACTTTGAAGTTAGGGGCATTTCAATCAGAAAGCCAAAGGGACTCGCGGCCCTAAGGATCCACGTACTTTCTGAGGATGTGCTTTGACTCCCTTTCGACCCCTCAAGTACATGTTTAGAAGGCCCAGGCAATTTGTATCGCGCCATGTGACGATGTAAGGGAAGAGTTCCGCTAAGACGAGTTCCAGTCAGAGGACATGTTTATAAAGCCGACAAGGGGCTTTTGTGCAAACCGAAAAACACAACAAATATATATATATATATATATATACATATATATATATATATAACAACGATTAAGTCGGACCCATGCAAATCAGCAGCGCGTGTAACAGCTTGTTCATTTCTAGGAGGGCTTGGGCTCCTCCGCGATGGTGAGACGGGCATGCTGACCAGGTTTTCCTGGAGCGTATCATTTGTTCTACACGGAAAGCAACACGCACACACACACACACACACATGTTAGTTGGATCCTTTAGGGTAAGTGGCCATGCATGTCAATTGGGAACCAGCGCCTAAATTTAAGTGATGTCAAGGGTCCCTGTAAAAAACATATTACCCCAATGACCAATTGTGGAAGTGGGGCATCAGAGGCCATTGATTCACCACTGTCCCATGCCACTCTGTGGTCACGCGTATGACCAACCTCACGCAAGAATGAGGTGATTATCCTCTTTGTGGTGATTCTCTGCGGAGAAATCTGGGGCATTACAGGCGAGGGGATTTTTGTCGAGTTGAAAATACAATTCACTACTTTTTTTCGCCCACTTTTTCACCGTTTGCCCCCTTTTCCTTTTCAGTGGCTTGTCCATTAAACAGTGAGCAACCCCATCAGGAACTGGCGCCCGAAAAGGCTGCATCCCCGATTGAGGTAGCCCGAAGATCAATCAACACATTGATGAGGGTTTCAATGCAATGCTGGCCGTCTTGTGGATGAGGTCCCAACGGAACACCAAGGCTGTTCCTTGTAGACTCCCGGTTCCGGCGAAGCCAAGGGCCTCAAAATTGGAGCTCGTGGATGACATAAGGTTGTCTTTGGGATCTACGACCGCCAACCGTTTTCGCCTTTGCGGGTTTCCCTTGTTGGTCCATGTGGGGGTGGCTCCCTTGGTTATGGGAAATGGAATTGCTGGGTGATGATTGGATGTTCAGTCGCCTCCACAGAAGTGAGGAAGGTTTGCCATGACATTAGTACCACACAGATGTGTCGCTCTGAACTTGAATTGGGTGTTTCCTGAAATAGGCATCCACTCGAACGGGGTTTCGGGACAAAAACAAGGATTTCGAGAGTGCAAAACAGCCATTGTTTTTTTTTTTTTTTTTTTTTTTATTGTCCCCGATTTTGAAACATGGGAGCACCTCAAGACTGGCTGTCTAGCTACTTCTCTGTCAGCTTCCAGGGAGGGTGTTGATACTTTCTTTGGGCCAGCGGTGAATCATTACGCCCTTTCCGTCCCACCCCCCCGCAGACTGGTTCTCAGAAGCCTTCTAAGACCCTTTGGGTTGTAGGGGTCGCCCTTGGGTTGTAGGGGTCCGCCCTTCCCCTCCGCTTCCCTGGCAGGCATGCTGATCTCGGTGCCTTTGTTGGCCCTGATACGGCTGCTGATCAACCTGGAGAACACGCACCCAGGACGTTCCTTGGCACGTCCGCTGTCAGGGGCACACCATGTAGCGTCTTGCAAGGGTTCTCTATATTTTTCCGCTCTGGGCGGCTTAAAAGTCGCCCTTTGGGCCAGTTTTGAGGGAGTTTCCGTTTTTGGTGGTGATGTGTTAAGAGGACATGTGGGGAACCCTGTTTTGAGCTAACCAAAATAGGTTAGCACCTACTGGTTGCTGGAAGCACCGAGGAGGACTTAGATCGCATTTGCCAGCACCACCCCAAGGACCGCTTTCCTCAAGGGGTCAAGGATGGGGAAAGCTGTGGTTCCTGGGCGGGTGCAGGTGATTTCGAGAGAGAGAGAGAGAGAGAGAGAGAGAATGGAGAGGGTCTCTCATTGCAGAATAGCCCCGAACGACTCCATGCGGGTGGGTGCCTGCATAGTGTGATTGTGTGTGTGTGTGTGTTGTGTGTATTTGAATTGTTTTGTTTGTGTGTGTGGGTTTGTGTGTTTGTGTGTTTGTGTGTTTGTGTGTTTGTGTGTTTGTGTGTTTGTGTGTTTGTGTGTTTGTGTGTTTGTGTGTTGTGTGTGTGTTGTGTGTTGCGTGGTGTGTGGAGCGTGGTGTCAGGTTTGAGGTGTGTGTGTGTGTGTCTTTGTGTGTGCCTTTGTCTGCCTTTGTGTGTCTTTGTGTGTCTTTGTGTGTCTTTGTGTGTCTTTGCGTGTGTGTGTGTGTTTTGTTTTTGTTTTTGTTTTTGTTTTTGTTTGCGTGTGTGTGTGTGTGTGTGTGTGTGTTTGTGTGTTTGTGTGTTTGTGTGTTCGTGTCTTTGTGTGTTTGTGTGTTTGTTTGTTTGTTTGTTTGTTTGTTTGTTTGTTTGTTTGTTTGTTTGTTTGTTTGTTTGTTTGTTTGTTTGTGTGTTTGTTTTTTTGTTTGTTTGTTTGTGTGTTTGCTTGTTTGTTTGATTGATTGTTTGCTTGCTTGTTTGTTTGTTTGTTTGTTTGTTTGTGTGTGTGTGTGTGTTTGTGTGTGTGTGTTTGTGTGTGTGTGTGTGTTTGTGTGTGTGTTTGTGTGTCTGTGTGTTTGTCGGTGTTTGTGTGTGTGTTTGTGTGTGTCTGGGTTTGTGTGTGTGGGTTTGTGTTTGTGGTAGTGTGTGTGTGTGTGTTTATGTGTTTATGTGTTTATTTGTTTATGTGTTTATGCGTTTATGTGTTTGTGTATGTTTGTGTGTTTGCGTGTGTGTGTGTGTGTATGTTTGTTGTGTGTGTGTGGTCGTTTTGTTGTTTGGTTGTTTGGTTGTTTGGTTGTTTGTTTGTTTGTTGGTTTGTTTGTTTGTTCGTTCGTTTTTTGGGGTATTTGCGTGTGTGTGTGCTTTGTGTTTGCATCTTGGGCAGCGGTTCATATTTCGCGCAGGCGTTTGCCGAGTGGTGTGCTTTTGTGCTATGCATTCGGATGTTGTGCGGGGCTGGCTTTTGGCGCTTCTTGTGCCCTTGAACCCGCCCTTAGGCTGGACCAACGTGTGGTAATGCTTGGTATGTGATTGACATGTTTGCCATGTATTAACCTGCCAATGAGGGAACGAACCTGGGGATTTCCATTCAAGGAAACCATAGGGGATGGTTTATGGAGGGTAATTCCTTCATTCCTTGCTGAGAACTGGCAAGCTAAGCTAGTGATGGCAGAAGGACGTTGGGTTGTCTCAAAATTGAGAAACACGCAAAAATCAACAGCGGGTTGCCCTTGACTATCCTTATTTGAACATGGGTGACACCACCAAGACACCCGTGACAAATTCCGGTTGTGGGTATTCCCTTCAAAGCATGGGAATGACCCTTCCGCAACCATGTCCTCCAAAGCTATTAACTTTTGAGAGTACGCACATGAAGCACAATCTAAACTTATAGTATATAGGATTACTCCCTCACGCCTGTTTCTGCACTTGAGTCACTTTTTGTGAAGACCATTTTGGTGGAAAAAAACAAGCTGAGATTTGCTTGGCCAATCTACGGAAGTGAGCCCCAGATGTGGAAGCCATTGACCCAGCGCCGGGCGTTTTTGTTTCAGGCGTCACCGCAGCTGCGGCGGCTTCTGCCAAGGCCGTGGTTCCTTCAGTGAACCCCACCCCCAGTGGCTTGGCCGAAGTCCGAAAGAAAGATGGGTGCGTCTTTGTTGGAGTTGGTAAGAATCCAATGGGCCCTGTAAGGCCACTTGTCGGTCTGTGCACCCACATGTCCCAGTCGTGGCTTTGACCTTCGCGGATCAGAGGACTTTCAGTTTCCTGGCGCGGAAACAAATAGTCAGTCGAGCCACAGTCAAAGCCCGGGTAGATGAAAGTTAGTAAGGGACAATCCCAACCATAAATAGCTGCGGCCGCCTTCTTCGTTCTTTACATGGTTCTGGGTCGACCATTTTAATACCGTGTTTTGATTGTGACTCAAGGCCCAGGTAATTCTTTGAACCCATGCCAGGGGTCCAAACTTGCGCCGGATGCAGGCGGACCAACAGTCCTGGAGGGACATGTAGAGCCTCCAAACAAGAACAGCAGATGCAACCAACCGCCAAAGGCCATCTTTGAATCTCATTGTTGCTTCATGAGCCGATCGCATGAGAACCTTCGGCGAGCTGCAGTAGGATTGCGCACAGGGACTAATGCCTGCCTGGTGCCATACTATGGATTGGGTTTCTTAGCGGCGACCCTGGCAACATGAGCCGGATTGCCGGATTTACTCTAAGAGGGTCACAGCTCCCAATCAATCGGGGCAATTAAATGGCATTGAATGGCTGAAGTCACACTATATATGTCACAAGGGTACGTTTCCGACTGACAATCGTGTCTTGTTGGCAGAAATTGCAGATGAGTTATCGCGAGGAAAGACCTCAGGGGCGTCAGCGTCTTACGTGAGCGAAGTGGCGCGCAACGAGAGCCTCAACGGCCGCCGCAACAGCAAGATCGTCCAAGCTGGGCCGTGAAATCATTGCCCAGTGAGGAACCCTTTTTGTTGCTGGTGCTTAGCAGGGAATGAGGGAAGGACCCCTATAAACCGCCCCTTGTGGTTTCCTTTAAGACTTTAAGGGAACCCCTGGGTTCATTCCCTCATTCCCCACTGAGCAGAACCAAGTTTTTTGGGATCTCTGCTTTGATTGCTTTGTGGGCTCTCCGTTTGCAGGGGAGCCGGCGACGGAACAGCATGTCCTTTTTTCAAGCGACATCCCTGATGGGTTCACAGTCCGATGCGTGGAACAGAAAAGGCTGATGTCGCTTCACTGTTTCTGGTGGACATGTTGGCATGTCGAGGGTGCTCTTCTTTGCGTTGTTTACGGAGAAGCAGTCTGGAGGGTACCCATTCAGCGGGGTTCACCCATTTGGGAAAAGCAATATTTTTGGATGCGGTGGATGTTTTGCGTTAGCCTGACATTTGATCAAGCAGACTAGTGTTCACACCAATCTGTGTGGAGAATATGTAGCCCGAATCACCGTGCGCCTGAGTTTGCTGCTGATGAGGGGGAACCAAGCAAGATAGTTCGCAGATTTTGCGAAGGCATTTTTGTGGGGTTCGTCCAGTCAGTCCCATCTGGAGGTTTGCAACTTGGTGCAGTGCCATGTGGCCAGGTGTTGATTTCTTCGGCAATTCTGAAAGGTCCCAGCTTTCAGTGCACCCATTTTCCCTTTTCATTGAGAGGGTTTCCCACTAAGCACGAGGAGACCGGGAAAAATAACAATAAAGCAACACGAGTTAGTTTAGTAAAAGAAAAAAACACATTCTTTTTGTACTGAGCAAACTGGGTCGTCGTGCACCTGCGAGGTACCTGGCCTACGCCTCAGTTGCGCAGAGCTTTGCTAAGAAGGGCCGAAAGGGCCTTTCAGATCAGGTCCCTCCGATTGACACGGGTGTGGCTCAAAATTAAACAGGAGGGGCAAACCGCGGGTTTTGGCCAATTTTTCCACTTAACAGGGCAAGCCATTTTGGAATTCCGGGTTTTTGAGCCACAGCCACATGAAACTGGACGTTTGGGCGGTCCTGGAAGATGATTGTAGGTTTAAAGGGACCCCCGAACGTCAGGTTCCAGGTGGGAGGGTAGTCCTTATAGTACATGTTGCGTAGGCATTTCACTGCTTGGACATGCGATGATCGATCAACCACGCACAGCCCACCCCACCACACACCCTGGCCCACTTACACCGCACATTACCGCACCATCCGCCCAGCCCCACTCCCCCCCTGCAGACCCCCAGCCCACACCCCAGCCCACCAACCAATCGACAGATAAACAAACCAAGAGACGTGAGAACGCATACACGCAAGCAAACGGACCAACCTGAGACACCATGGAAGCTCCTTGATGGATTACACAAGATCTGCACTCATTTCTTGCATTTCTGGGCACACCACATTATTTAGTATGTGTCGGTGCGTGGAGAACATGCTATCGTTGAGCAATTTGTCATTGCTTAATTTCTGTGACTGAGCCTGCTTTCAACAATGAAAGCCCAACCACAAATGAAACGACCTTTGTGCGGACTATGCAGCTAGCAAGTCACGGAGTCCGTTGATATTGCTCACTTTTGTTCTTATTGTGCTTAGTTGTTGCGTTTGATGGCAGCACCTATTCGGATTTGGTACAGGGTCAGGGTTTGAAAGCTGTCTGATCTCTTTCGGGCTCGGCTGACAGGGCTCCTTGATCTGATGTTTCCCGAGTGGTCCTGGGAAACTATTTGGTATACGGGGTAAATTAAAGGACACATGTGGGGCCACACAACCGCCAGAATGCCAGCTGTTTTAGAGGCCTAGAATCGTTCCCAGTGCTCCAAATCCTTGCGCAACCAAGGGAACCACCGTTTAAATCGGCCACCAAGGGAACCAGACGCAAACAAAAAATAAGAAGAAGAAACAAAAACAACGGAAAATTGTTGGTCTACAAGAATGGTAACCTGGCGGCTTGTGACCCTCAAAAGGTTCAAATACTGGGCCCTTAAAAGGGCGACGATCCGAGATCTATGGAACCAGCGACTACATCGAGTACACAGGACCGGTGTGCCATGCTTTGGTTCCTAACAGCATTCATGTTTCGCGTCGATGCAATGGAAGGGTGGCCCGATGTTGCCATTTATGGCTTCATGGTTCCCGTGTGGTTGGAAGACAGGAATTGGCTGGCTCCACGCTAAGATGGGGGCCGGGTGTGTATTTGCGCCCAACGCCCGTGTGGGTTTCCGGGCTTGTGCAAGATGAGTTTCATTGAGAAGTATGCCAAGTGAGAGCTGATATTTTCAGAATTTAGCAAATCATTGTGCGTGGGGTGGGTGAGTGTACGCTATCATGTAGCTGCACAGCCAGCTGAGTGGTCTTTGACGAACCATCTTAGAGGAAGACCTTGGTAGAACCAAAAGTCAAACGGTTTTCGGAGGCCCAAATTAAGGAAGCTCGTTGGGCAGGGTTTGTCGGACCCTCAAACTACCCTTATCTCACTCCCCGTGTTGCTGAGCTTTCCAACTTTTGGGGATGACCCTTGTAGCGGCAAAAAACAAGTTTGGGTTTTCTTTGGGCCAATCCACTCAGAAAGTGAGTTAAGACTGTAATATTGCCATGATTAATGCTCAAGCAGATGGAACTATGTCCAATTCCCGAGGCCTGTTTGGAACCTTTTTCCTTGGTGGCTCCCACCGAGGGCTTAGTGGTTGGGTTTTCATGTAGCATGCTAGTGACTTTTTCGGCAGGGGGTCCGAAAACGGAGAGTCCAGTTTCAGCGCACGTTTTTGATGTGCAGTGGGTGTGGTCTTCTGGTCTTCTGGTCTTCGGAGGACGCCTGCCGAAGCATCTGCTGCGGATGCCCAAAGATCTCTCCTCCGGGGCCTTCTATTCCCATAGCCTCTTGGAGGGAGATAAATTGTTTTTGGTGTCGCCTGGCACCCAAAATTTGGGCCCGAGACGTTTTGGAAGCAATCGAACTTGCGCCAAGAGCGGCCAAAGAGGCGTCTCGTTCACTGCCCAAAGTTGGGCTTTGTTCAGCATCAAACCGAAAGGTTGGATTAGAGGAGGAGGGAAACCCAGTTTTATCCCCCCAACTTGAGAGCGCCAATTTGACCTTGACAACTTCCGGGGTGTTTGTTATTTGAGCGGATGGAGGCTCCACTCCTTCTAGGTGTCTGATCTATTGACTTGGCTTGAAGCCAGGGTGCATCAGCATCTTCTTGGTTCGACCATGTTCTGCCCAGCCTTGCACGTGGTCATGTCTCGAATAATGTTAGCGTCGGATGAAAGCCTCCCCTCCCCACCCCCAGAATCAAGGTCAAACCTCAGATTAAACAGGTTCCGTGTGGTAGTTGTCGGTGGCTGCTCCACGGGATTGAGGAAGGGTCCGGAAATGATAATATCAAGTTTGCAGTGGGCTAGTTCGTGAGCGAAAATGGTTCTGCCGAAGGCGCTGTACCAATTAGGGGTGGTCCCCGAGGCCGCGTCAGAGCGTGTGGGACCCGTGAACGTGGCTTAGCAATCGGTGTTGTTTCTTCATTCAGTGTTAACATTATTATGGCTGTTGGGTACCGGATCTTTGGACTTTAACTTTTTTGGGTGAAACATTTGATTTGTTTATTGGACCCACAAAAAGTTAAGCATATTTGGTTGGATGCTTGGACTTTGGAAGCTTTTTGGATTTACACAAAAAACTAAACACCTTCTGCAGCGGGGTCTCGCACCAGTACCCAAGACATCAACAAAAACACATTTGTCACTTCTGGGGTCTTAGTTGGACTCATGCCGCTCTTTATCCCGATGGAGAGTGGATCCAATGTTTCTTGTTGTTTTTGTTTTTGTTGTTTCTCTTTTTCTCAGGGAAATACTTGGTTCGACAGATCGAAGATGATCGAAGGCGCTGAACAACACGCTCGAAGGCTTTTGCTATAAGCAAGCAGTATTTCTTTGTGAAGCCTCTGCCAAAAACAGTCTTGGATCAAACTTCTAGCTAAGTTTCCTCCGGAGGGCTGATGTGTAAGGGGGAAGTATGGGGAGCCCTAGCGATGCGAGGGTCACTGGTTGCAACTTCACGACTTGTCCAAGGCTTGGGCGAGAGGAGCGTGCTCAATGGCATGTGGGGGAAGTACGATCATCATCGCCACTTGGAATCCTAACCAAACTTTTGTGATTTGGCTGTGGCTCAAAAAACCAGAATTCCAAAATGGGTTGCCCTGGTAAGTGAAAACTTGGACCAATACCGGCGTAACCCCTCCTGTTTAATTTTGAGCCACACCCATTTGTTTGTTTCCTGAGTTCCTGGACGGACAACTGGTTGTGAAAACATGTTGAGAAGTAAACAACAAGTTAGGCCTTTTTTTAGGCAACTCCACTTGATCGGAAGTGTGTTGTACGTCGACCAGGAGAACCCGTGCTGTTTGCTGGTGTTTTTCCAATTTGGGGACGAGTAGACGCCTTGACCCACGTGGGGAGGACAATTTCACTGGGCAATACTTTGTTTGGGCCATCCACGGAAGTGAGTTGCGGGAATCCAAAAGGAAACCAACCCCGCAAGAATGTTGTCTACATCGCCTCTTGGAATCCAATGCTTGCCCATGTTTCTCTTGCGCTCGCATGCTATGACCAAATGATGACACCGTCGCACAGCCATCTTACAACTTCATGCGCTGTGCTGAACCTATAGGGTCCGGATGCTTTAAATTAAAGGGGAGGGGCCCCTGGAAGCAACCATTCTCTGAGATCCTGGACTGGAAAACAAAAAAAGGCGATTTAGCGGTAAACACAAAGTGTGAAGACAATTTAGCAGTAAACAAAGATATAGCATGTGGTTTGAACACATCAATGTGAGACTGCCAGCCCTAGCGCGTTTTGCAGCCCCTTCAATTGGCAAATAGGGCAATTTGGTTGTGCTCGTATGGCCATGGGTCAAAATCCCGTACCGCCAGTGAGCATCCCAATCCCCACTAAAATAGACTAGCACCTACCCCAAAATGGTACCATTGG